AGACTGGTTTATGTGACCATCTAAGATTTTCTTTATTTGACAACTTTACACTGTTTGCTTTTAACTTGTTCAGGTGATCGAGATTTTTTGGTCATATCGTCTGATGACGATGACAAGGAAAATCAGCTTCCACCACAATCACAGAGCAACGCGAGGTCTAAAGTAGGAGGAAACTGGCGTGAACTACTCTCCTCCACCTCTACTCATAGAGGTACTGTCAGGGAATCAATTCCATTAGAGTAAGCAGTAGCAGCATCACAAGTACTTAACTAATTCAGCTTTGTTCATAGGTACTGTGGATGAGAAACCACGTCGACAGAGAGGGCGGCCAAAGGGAAGTAAGAATCGGAAGACACTGAAGCAGGATGCTGCTTGTGCTTTATTGGACTCTGATTCATCTGATGAGGACAATCCCCTTGTCAAAGACCAGATCAAACGACCCCGTCTAGGAAGTAATTGGCGGGAAGCAACCATATCGACTGGAAGCTTACCAAAGCGCAGCAAGGGTCGTCCCAAGGGGAGTAAGAACAAGCCAACTAAGGCTGCTTCTCCAAAGAAAGGTATGCACTCATCTCCTTCCAATTGACAATGTCAATTCAGAAATATTGGTCTGGGTTCACTTGTCATCACTAAAACCTCTAGAAATTCCTTTCCACTTGAAGTGCAAAGTAATTCCTAGAAGCTTTAGTGATAACAAATCGTCAAAAGTTATTGTAAAAATGAAGGATATTTGTCTTAACATGCCTATTTCTCTTTTACAGGATTAGAATGCCATATTTGTAAGGACCCAGATGATGACAGTGCACTTTGCCTCACTGAATGTGGTCATCTTTTTCATGTGCATTGTTTGGAGCAGTGGGTTCAGACGTCGAACCAAAAGTATAGAACTTTAAAGGTTTGCCCGTATTGTGGCTCAAACTTTGAAAAAACTGTGCCTTTTTTTGGGTGATTGATTGCTCATTATTCGTTGCTCATTATTCGTTTTTAAATTAACTCAGTAGGATGAATTTATTTTATTGATTGTATCAGAGTATTGTATTATACTTAATTGTTTGACTGCGTCTTATTGTAAGAGATGCTGTAGAGTTGCTCCAATTTGGTTTGAGTCACAATTTCTAAGAAATATTGTACATATTTTGTATTTTGTATTTGTATCTCTTGTCAAATTATACGACATTCTACCAACAGTTTGAATTTATTTCTAAAGTGGTTGAGACTAAAGGATGCCCAGACAAAATTACTCTTTAATTTTGAATGACGTGGTTTCTGTGTGTAACTAGCTTCGATTACTAAGTAGCACAACTTGCAGTGTTTCTCTTCACTCTGAATAAACAGCCTCACTTGGCACAACTTACCAGTAAACAGCATAGCCGCCCTGAGAATCCAGTTGCAAAATGAAAACCTTCCAGCATTAGTGTACAAATTATACACCTCTTCCAGGCATGTGTTCCAGCTTTAATGAAGAGTAAAAGGCAA